TGTAGATTATGAATGTAATATAATGATGTACTTACTTTTCCTCGACTTTCCTCTCGCCCTTAATCCGCGAGTTGTAATTGTTTCTCCGCTCCGGTTGTTCAGTTCTGTATGATTAAAATGATCAATTTATGTTTGATGTACAAAATAAACTTACCTTGTATTTGTCTTTCCTTTTCTTTTCCTCTTTAATACATCGAATCTGGTTTTCCTACCTAACCGTGCTGCTTCTGTTTTCAAATGTGAAGAATAATAGTAAGTCAGCACTGTATACAAATGACCTATGTAATATTTGTTCTTGATTTTTAGCGTTGTATTTTATGTATTTGAATTTGTACCTTGTCTGTCAAGAATTTAAGATACGTCCTTTTGCTTTCGTCGATGCAAGTGTATTCATGTGCTGCGGTTCGGTCTTCGAACGGCTCACCTGTGAATACGCAAAGCTATAGTTATGTTTGCTGTTCGTTGCATGAAAAGAATATATATTTCTCAGACACGTCTACGTTACATGCTAATGAACACAATATTTGTTTCATGCAATAAGTTATGCTATAAATCCCTAGAAATTAGATTATATTTATATGCATGCAAAAGTATTCGAACTTGATATTCTGTAACAGCAAACCTGATTTCCGTGATCTCATGCTTGCTTTTCTTTTTGCTCGGTTGATTATTGATCTTTCTCTGTCGTCATCCATCATTTTTCGTTTCCGTGTCTCCATGATGAGTTTCAGAAGACGATCTTCGCACCTCACTGTCTCGGTTGCCGTAAACGGTTTCACTTATTTTGAAATCTCCAAAAGTATCTATATCGAGAAAGTTATGGTATCAGATTAGATGAATTAGTCTTACATCAATAGTTCTATAAGATGAAGGCAGTAACATTATACAGTCGTGGTGATAGGAGGGATCACATAACTATTCCGGAGACGTACCTTAAAAAGTGTTGATGCTGCAAGTTCGATCTCGAGTCTTTTAAGGATACGGCTTAATCCTTCTCAAATGTAAAACGAATTCGCTTGTACGTAGGTGTTCACCAAAGGATCTCTACGAACGTGAACGATAGAGTAGTCTTTAGAAAGGTTATTGTTGGTTACCAATATTTTTAAAGTTAAGTATTGCAAGTGATTATGGGTCCATTTGTCTTCATCGGTTATAGTTCTTTGTTTCTTGACTAATCTAATAGATCTTTATCGATGATGAAATCTTAGAAACTGTGCTCTCTGATAAGCTTCCTTCTTTCCTCTTGAAATCTAGCAACTTGATGACCTGAAAAATGAAATCTTTTTATTGATGATGGAAATCTAGAAACTGGGCTCTGATCAGCTTCATTCTTTTCCTCTGCTTGAAATCTAGCATAATACAGTTCGTCTGCTTTCTCCCTTAAAATCTAGAAACTTGATGACCTGAAAAACTAGACCTTTATCGATGATCAAATTCAAATATAAGATTCTGGCTTTGGTTAGCTTCTTTCGTTTCCTCCATTTAAATCTAGGAGCTTGCTTAGTCTTGACCTCCAGATTTATAGAGGCTTCATTAACTCTCGACATTAAACCCAAACAGGTCGGCGTTTCTCCTCCTCCATCTCACATTCTCCTCAAGACATTTCTTTGGGGAAGCCTACTCTTTTTGCAGTGACCGTCTTCGGTGGTACATTCGTCTACATGATAACAGGTATGAGAATTTCTATTCGAGTTTTTTGTTTCCCTTCATCAAATTCAACACTATTTATTCATTCATTCATCCCCAGATATTGTCATGTACAACGTACACAACAGAAGACTTAAAACAATCAGAGAGGAGTACAAGAATCTCCGTGACATTTCTAAGAAAGTATCTGAGAAGCTTTTCGCAGAGGGAAATAGACAACGTGGGTTTCTTTGTGCTTTTACAGAAACGTAAACAACTTTTATCTTATTTTTTTTACACTTGATTCTCCCCCTTCTCTCATGTTTCAGGTGTTGGAAACATTCAAGAAAACTGAGTCATCGGTCCATGATTAGGAGAAGATGTTGTTGTTGGGATTTCTGTTATAACTTTTAACCATCTATCTTGTAATAACAAAGACTGATCACGTTTTTCTTTGTTTTCGACTGGATGTTGGTCTCTCATGTTGATCAATTAATTGCTCTTTCCCTGTTGTTATTGGTGTATATTTTGCCACATCAGAATTGTGTGTATGAGATATCTAAGAAATTGCTACTTTGATTTCTTCATGGACTTTTGTGGCTACTGCTTTGATAAGTCTCTGATATTGAATTCTTCCACACATCTCGGTCGGATCCAAAGGTGCATGCGGTATATGTATCTGCATGTTCTTAATGAAACGAACACATGAGGGGTTTTTGTGTTAAGTTTTGACGATTTTGTTTGGAGTTTGTAGAGAAAAATGTGTTAGGAGTCCCAACCCAATGATGTTACTGTTCATGGAGAAAGATGAAGCAAGACTTTAAGGGAATTAACATCAGCTTGACACTCTGTTTCCAATTCGAAGGCATAATACAAATGGTTCGGTGTCTCCTCAGTCTTTTGATGACTTTAGACAGTAGCTTTTATAATATGCTTGACATACGTTCATAATCCAGGATTATTCCATGAGAGTTTTGGTAGGGGGAGTATGATCTTGCAGATGTATCCTTCCATTATATTCATTCATTTCTTTCCAAGCATGACGAATCGTAACTCGAAAAAAACCTAAATTGTTAATCTAGCTAAAGCTACTTTTGTAAAGATCAACAACTCTACTTGACGAGATAGTGAAGATTTTATCATTTCTCTTTTTCTTTCTTATCAAACTATGTTTTTGTTTATCTCTCTGATTCGCAAGGCTTCAAAACTCTAGGTAAAGCTACTTCTGTAATACCTCACTTTTCATTCCTTAATGACATTTTAGGTACTATTTGGCACACACACACAAAAAGAGTTATAGTGATTCGTGATTAATGGGTAGTCTTTTAAAATATATAGTGGGTTTAGACCAAATTGGTATGAATTAGTGGTTAGATGAGCACAATGGAACCATGAATTAAAAAATAGTACCAAGTTACCAACGTACTTGTTTTTGGTCGACTGACTATCCCAATTACAATATCCATTTCAAATTCGTAGACCCTACCATTCTCTCCTCCAAAACTGGACTCCACTCTTTTATATACCAAATTTTCTATCTATACGGATCAATGTCTAAATGTCACATTTCTTCCACACACAAGAATAATTAGCACGGCTGTTTATACCGGACTATATCTACATAACATATGTGAAGATGAATTTTAAAAAAGTAACAACTTGTTTTAAAGTTTAAACCATTGAAGCGATCGATGAATTTTTGGTCGATTGACTATCCCAACTAGAAAATCAATTGGCTGTTGACTTTTAAGAAGAAGCAGAAAACTAGAAAAGAAAGGAAAAAGACGGTCATACATAGTTCATGAGCTCTCGCTAGCTGTATGTCGTTGATTTTAAAGAAAATAGTCCAATTTGATTAGTCATGGTCACTATTTCTATATCTTGTGTTCTTATTCTCTATATTCCTTTTACTTTGTAGTAGCTTTTCAACGTTGAAGTTATTTCGTTTAGGATTTCCTTATCTTTTAGAAAACTAAAAAAGTCCTAATGTAAAATTAAGCAAATTAATCCTAGTAAAATGGTTTATGAACCATTCCATTTCCATCATGTATCTTCTGGTGTCGGACAAGAAAACGCCATTAATTTTCTTATTGCGATTAGGTGGCAGTAAATTACTCTAGTTTTGGACATATGTATTACGATGGTTGAAAACTCTATAGTGGAACTATTTTCATCTATGTAGAAACTGCTGGAGACCAAGAGTCCAAAATATTAATGTAAGATAATCATAATTCGAAATAACACACACTCTTAAGGACCCACGCATGCACCCAGAATATGGTAGATGATAATATATGTTTTTATCTGTTCACTTATTTAATTTTTGCTTTGTCATTGTCTCACTCACATAATTCAATTATCCCATTCCCTTTAGATAGTCCTTTTCTTTTTATTTCAACTTCAAACTTGACAACAACAAAAAATCAACTTTTCCTATCATAAAGCCACTCTTAAAATTCATTTCCATGTCTTTTTATGCTTCAAACATGGAGAGATTAAGGGCATAGCTTACGAACTTTTGTTCAACACAATTATCCACCAAAATGAAGTGGTTTTTAATTCTGGTTCATTTGAATTAGATCCCGGTAGTATTCTATGTACGTGAAGGTATAAGACTTAGACATGTGGGTAATAAGATCTTCTACTTTTCTAAACTTTATATGAATCAAAATTTCTGGTTATTCTTCATCAAATATTATTTCATGTAAATATGTGTTCTTTGATTGATATAAAAGCTTTATTTAAATCAGTTTCTTCATCCTAGCAAGATGGCATCCGAGTCCATTGTTACTTAATTTTGTCACTGTAACAAGATTGAAAGTTTGAAATCGCTAATAATTGAATAAGCCTAGCTGCAGCCTAGGTGATAAGGTTTTTGACTGAATTGTATATCAATATGTCTATTAGACATTATTAAATAATAAATATTGGAACAATGATACGGTTCTGTGTGTCTCCTCCATTCACGTTTCCATGAACTTCTCCCCTTAAATATTGGTCTTTTGGTGACTTTAGACCGTAGCTTGACATATACATACCGATCAGTATTCTTGTTGTTGTATCAAGAAACCATGTTTAAGCACATGTTCAATCTCAGTATTGTTGCCTCAAGATTATTGATCAAGTGATATATTTTTGGGTCTATATTTTTTTGGCATAAGGAATGGAATAATAAGAACCTCCAGATTCTTTTATAGGCTCAAATCTTCTTCTTGTTTTTTTCCCCATCTCTACAGTTTGCCACAACTTTAAAAGAAGATGTAAAACCTTGAAAGTTGTAAAAGTGTGTAAGTTTCTTGAAACTTGCCATTAGTAAAACAAGTAAGTTCGAGAGAGGACAATACAAAACTAAAAAGGTCTCTGACTAAATACTGTCACTCTTCCAAGTAAGTTATTACATGGACAAACGCAAAAATCTTCAACGCCTCAACCAAACTAAGCCCCCCTGATAAGAGAAACCAGCAACGAACAAAACCAAAGAAGAAGAAGACGAAGAATCAACAATCCAAATAGGGAAATTGCATTGCCCCTGAAATATGTTCTGTGTGGTAATGGTGGCCAAACCTTGGAAGATACACGCTTCCTCATCCTGGTTCTTCACCTGAAAATACATGTTAAACGCATACGACGCGTTCCCATTTGCATCAAGACCATTGCAAGAAGATCCATAACCAAGAGCCGTGCAATCAGAGTAAGTGCAGGCAAAATCAATGTTCTTAGCAAGTTTCGTCAAATCTTTAGCTTCTGGATTAAAGCTACACCACTTGTTCTGTAGATACGTCACGTTTTGAGCACCAACCAAGAGCTTGTTCTGTCCTTGACCTGAGAGATCTATAGGAAACTTTGGTGTCCCTCCCGTCGTATTTGAATATCCCCCAATGCCTCTCAAAGTCTCCAGGTGCTATGCTTTTCGCATCCTCATCGAGTAATCCGAAAAAGTAGACCTCAATGTATATTGGTCTCAATGGAGTGCCTTTGTTTGCTCCAAGCTTTGGTAAAGACCGTTGTATAATCTGTAAGCATCGCCTGCTACGATAGGCATGTCTCCATGACCAACAGCTTTCAAAGACGATACCAAAGTGTCGAAATTTGCATCGAAAACGTTCGTGTAAGAAATGCCGTGGTCATCTACAGGCTGAGCTCCATCGAAGAAGGCGTAGTTGAGTGGGAAATCATCGTTACCATAGAGACTCAAGAAGGGGTAGATGTTGATTGTTATAGGAGCATTGTTCTTGGTAAGGAAGTCTACAATCTGAGTCATTTGAGCAATGATCTCAGGACGGAATCTTCCTGCAGATGGCGCTGCTTCCATATGTTCATAAACTTTAGACAAAAGTTCATATTCGCGTTATGAATGTATGTCTATTAGATGAACGTATTTCTTTTGCTATATGCTGATAGATGAACGTGTTAATGTCCTTTTTAAAGCATTTGTTTGGTTAAAAACTGCATGCATGAACATTATTTTTAAAAGTATTAAAGTCTCAACTGCATGGATGGACAATTACAAATACAATATCCATTTCAAGACATGTCAAATTCGTAGACCCTACCATTCTCTCCTCCAAAACTGGTCCCCGCTCTTTTATATACCAAATTTTCTATCTATACGGATCAATGTCTAAATGTCTCATTTCTTCCACACACAAGAATCATTAACACGGCTGTTTATGCCGGACTATATCTACATAACATATGTGAAGATGACTTTTTAAAAAAGTAACAACTTGTTTTTTTTTTTTTGGTCAACAGTAACAACTTGTTTAAAGTTTAAACAATTGACGCGATCGATGAATTTTTGGTCGATTGACTATCCCAACTAGAAAATCAATTGGAAAAGGACGGTAGGTCCCACTTGATTACCCTAAACTACTAAATTAGGATGTTAATTTCTTTAGTAAGAAAGACATTGTTAAATAAAGGATGTATGATTAAAAACCCACGCATATATCACTCTAAAGATCACGACTTTCAAGGGAGGCACCCTAATGATTAAATCGTTATTTATTATTTTTTTTTTGTTCGAGTGTGTATACTTATTTTTAGTTTTATATATTTCGAGTGTATATACTTCGCATAATTATGTATACAAAATTCAATAGCTTCTTATACATACGTAAGCACTAAACATAATAGCAAAACTGCAAAAGCTTGAAGCCTCAACAACTTTCGCTGTTATGATATTTTCAACAAACGATAACCATCACCGCATTTTTTGAATTGAAACCAATGAGTAGTTGTCAGAAATAAAAGCCGACAAATCAAGTTCATGAACTTTTGTTTTCTTGGAAAGTTGGAGCTAATTAAGATAACTTTTCAGGTTAATTAATACTAACCCTTTCCAATGGTTTCTCACCACCTTTTCAAGGAGGGAGCTTGACGTATGTATGTTCATAATAAGGTTTAGACATAAGTTCATATTCGCGATATAATGCATACATGTCTATTCTAGCTAGGAACGTATTTCTTTTGCTAATATATCTATATATATCGGGATCTCTCTCTCGTAATAGCTAAATGAACGTATTAATTCATGTCCTTTTAAGAGCATTTGTTTGGTTAAAAACTGCATGCATGAACAATTAATTACAATATCTCTTCAACTCGTGTCATATAGACATAGTATGATATATGTAGACCCTACCATTCTCTCCTCCAAAACTGGACCACTCTTTGAATGTCTAAATGTCGCAATTCCTCGACACACGATCACGAAAATAAAACGGCTGTTTATGCCGGACTATATATAACATATGCAGTGTAAATATAGTATCATATACTATATAAGCTTTATCAATAAATAAATAAAAAATCATACTATATAAAACCTCTCATCGATTTTGAAAAACTAATTTGTAAAAGTAGAAATAAATGGGTAATCAACTAGATAGGCTTTTAGAAAGGTACTGTATAAAACTAAAAGCGTTTTGAAAACTACAATCTTTTTGTTTTCTATAAAAACGAATTTAGCTTTGTTTTAGAAACAAATAATGATATTAAACCACCAAAAATAGGACTTTGTCTAGTTTTTCAACATATATTTTCTTAGTCCGATTTTGTTATATCTTGTAATTCCTATAGAAGATTAGCGTCTTACGGTACTAAATTCTAACTCTTTCAAAACCATAAAGGTTTTCGTTTTTTTTTTTTAAATGATTTGGATATTTCAATTTTGACGTCGTGTTTCTTGTTAATGTTTTTCGAAATTCTTTTGTTTTCTCGAAGTTTCGGTGTTCATGCATGTAAATCAACATTTTCGAACATTTTTTGTTGGTTCGAGTGTAGGAAGGAGTAGGATGCATGTATATATATATATATATATATATATACGTTTCTATGTCTTCCTATAACTATATATGTATCCAATAGTCAAAAGCTGAAAGCCTCACCGCCTTATGATACTATATGTCTTCCTATAACTATTTCGCTGTTATGATACTTCCAGCAAACGGCTAACCATCTTTTTTTTTTTGGGTTAAAAACCAATAAGTAGTTGTCAGAAATAAAAGCAGACAAAATAAGCGGAGCAAAAGTTCAAGAGCTTGATGGAATCAATTTTTTTTTAATGTATTTTTGGAATTTGGAAAGTCGGAGCGAAGTTAACTTTTCTGGTTAATATTACTTACCATTTCCAAGGGATTCTCACCACTTTTTCCAAGGAGGGAGCTTGACGTATGTATATGTTCGTAAGCATAGGTTTAGACATGTATAAGTTCGGCTTTCGCGATATGAATGAATAATGTCTATTAGGTGGACGTATTTATATGCTAATATATGTCCCTCTCCTGATAGATGAACGCATTTAGGCACTTTTAAAGCATTTGTATAATATTTGTAACTAGATTAGATGATTTATGCATGAATCTCTTGTGGAAAACTTTAGAAGCTTGTACATGTTACAACCGGGAGTAAAATAAAATCGAATCGATCTACACTATTATTACAAAGTAAAATATATGAAGGCGGATTGAGCGAAATAAAGTTATGCATTTTCACTCATTTATTGGTTGTGTTAAACTTAATACACTAATAGGAAGCTGATTTATTTAGTAAGAAACTACAAATTAAAGACGCTATTAACTATAAAAGCCGGCATATTAATATAGTTACTCTAAAAGATGATGAGTTTAACAAATGTAAAAAAGAAATGATCTAATCTTTGATTAAATCGTTCTCCGAGAAAAAAGGTCACACTCTCGATGACGTGGCTGGTACACACTTCTTTTCACCCTTGACTCGTTGAGTCTCGCTGAATCCTTGACTCTTTGACTCCCTCGCTGAATCGTTTTTAGGTCTCCCTTCTTCCCGAATCCGAATCCTCCGCCGTCTCCGCTGCTGCTCCGATGACGAAGACGAAGGATTCCGAAAACCAACACTACCCAAACGTTCTAGCAAAAGTAAAGGCCTACACTAAGGTGTTGGAGAAGCTTAGAGAATGAGAGGCTCCATTTCCTCCAGATTTCGAGACTTCACTTTGGCAACACTTTAGCAGACTTCCTGCTCGGTAAGATTCTCCTTGTAACTCGACACTTGTTCTCTGTTTCATCAAGGTTTTGCTATCTGTGGATTTTATAATTTTAGGAAGAGGGTTTTGCGAAAAGGGCTTTGGTTTTGCTGTTTCCGGTTGATTTCGTAGATTAATTTAGTCGACAAAATCACCATAGCTCTCTCTCTTAACACGTGTCATGTGTCTCCAGTTGATTTTGGGAAAATGGACTTTTTGGTTTTGCTGTTTCCGGTTGATTTTGTCGATTATCCACACTGTATTTGGATTGGTTTCCTGAGTAGATTATATTTAGTTGACAAAATCACCATATCTCTCTCTTCTCTGCAGATATGCTATGGATGAGAAAATCAGTGCAGAGGATGTTCTCATCCACATGAAACTGATGAAGAAGATGCTTGAAGGAGTTGGCATCGTGGTTCAAGTTGTTCCACTAAATCTGAAGGAAGATGACCAAAGCTCTGAACAACCAAGCAACCCTGCGTTGAAGGAAGATGACCAAGCAAAAAAAGATCTTTTGGTTCAAGATCCTGGAGTTGGTATCGTGATTGAAGCTGTTCCTGCCTTGGTTGATCATCACGTTGGAGCTGGTGATAATGCAACATTGCCCACTGAGTGAGTTTTCGTGTCTCTGTTTTTGTATCTATCACTTTGCCTTACTCTCACTTTTAATATAAATCATTCTCTTGTTGTTGCAGACACATGATGATCAATTTTGTCTCAGTCAACCTTGATCATCAAGCAAAGGCTTTCCATGAGCTCTCCTTCCTTCTTGGTGCTGAGCTAGGACTTCAGATCTTGGAGACTAGTTCCTTTGCTTCAGAGGATGGGCTTTCCTTGGATGTCTTCGTTGTGGATGGTTGGTCTCGAGAGGTAGAAACGTTAATATAACTTTTAGTTTTTGTTTTCATTTTCGTTTTTATCACAAATTTACTCCTTTCTTTCTTTATTCATTTTGAATGATGCAGGAATCACAGAGACTAGAAGACGTACTAAGGGATGAAATAATTAAATTTGAGAGCAGAAATATCCTGGGGCAATCCGTTTTCTCGAGGGTAAGAAATACACCATCTCGATCTCTCTGCCTTTTTTACTTCGATTTCTTTCCTTGTGAGCTTAAAATAAGAGAAACGATTGGTTGAAAATGATTGTTTATTGTGTGGTGGGGTTACGTGTAAGATTTAGAGAATATGCGTTTCCTTCCTTTTGTTTATTTATTTGCAAGTGTCGGTGTAAATAGTGGATCCTGAATTATCTCAATCTTTTAACTGTTTCCTTATTTTTCTCTCTCTTTCTAGATCTTCTTCGACAGCTACACGCCTAAGTTTTCCAACAGGAAGCCTAATAAGGCAAGCATCTTTGATGCTCCTGTAGAATCACTGAGGAAGCATTTAGTTGTTGGCTGCTCAGAGAGGCTCTTCAACAAGCTTTATGGACGAGCAGAGGAGGACCCATCTTTTGCTTTGAAGCTCATCAGAGGTGCTTCTTTCATCCAGAGGAACAAGGCTCGGCTCATGAGCAAACTTCTCAAGGACAAGAGTTGTGAGTACACTCACACCAGAGCATTCAACAAGAAGTTTGCTGCTCTCTCTGTAGCCAAAGCAACAGCTACACTCGCTGTGGCTGCCTTGTTTGGAGTGTTTGCAGTGGGATCTGGCATCATTCCAGCTATGGAAGAGAAGGAAGACAGAGCTCTACAGTTGCAGGAGGTTAAGGATAGCTTCAATGATAAGTTGGCTGGGTATTACAAACAATCTCGCAGCTTCTTTCAAGAAGGTCTCAACAGTAACCTGAAGAAGATGGACTCCAAGTTGGAAGGTCAAAACATGAAATACTCCAAGTTGGAAGAAAGAGTTCGAGTCCTAGAAGAAGCTGGTGCCAAGAAAAGCTCTTGGTTTGGAGGTTGGTGGTCCAAGTAAGGAAAGAAGCAGAAGAATGAACACTAAAGCCCTTGTAATAATGAAAGAAAAACCTATCTTGTTTGTTTGATCGTTTTTTTGGACCAGTAGGTTGTTTAAGCACCATAACTTATTCCTTTTGACCTATCTTAGCTTGTTTGTTTGATCGTTTTTTTTGGACCAGTAGGTTGAATTCTCTGTTAAGCACCATAACTTATTCCTTTTATGTTATCTTTTGTGATCTTGTCCAAATGTTGTTGACTGACATGATTATGATCTGTATCACATGTTTGCTTTGCTGCAAAGTCTGTTTCGTTTTACTGTTTTCTCCACAGCAGAGACGTTCTTTTTTGGACACAAGTGGAAGAAGGGTACAAAGATTTAGCGGAATGATCTGCAGCTTTGTGCTTTTTTTGACTTCTGTTGGCTGTTGGTTAAGTCCGAGCTGTTAACTTCTCGCCCTGGACTGGATTTCTTTCTTCTGATTGGAATCCATATTTTCTGATTGTTTGAGATGGAGTTCACATATGAATCACAAGTTTGCTTTTCTTTGGACAGAAGTGGAAGAAGGTCACAAAGATGTAGCGGTAAGATCTGCATCTTTGTCTTTTTGGAGTTCTGTTGAATGTTGGTTAACTTCTCGCTCTGCATTTATTTCTTCTATTTGGAATTCATATTTGCAGGACATGGAAACCCCAGGCCCTTTGAGAAGCGCAAGCATGCTGCATACCTTAATCTAAAGTTAAGTGGATAAAGTTTTGTAAAGATGATGTTTGAAGGATCCAAGAGTCCACTTAGTCGAGAAATCTATCTAAAATCTAACCTCTCCTCTTGTCTATGCAGTTAGAAGATGTAGAGCTGGATGTTAAGATGAAAAACTACGATTGGAGGCAATCTTCTCGGGAAACATTCTTACACTGTAGGGTCCAGGAGCTTGAGACCCAGTTGGATAGAGAGAAAGATGAATGCAAGAGGTAATGACTGTTTCCACCTTGATGTTTTCTTGGAACTCATTCGGATGCAATATATGTGATTTGGCATTATTCTGGACTTGATCTTTTGGTGACGAATGCTGTTCAATGCTTTTTCATGGCAGGATTACTTCAAGAACGAAGAAATTCATGAAAGAATATAGATATAACATGTTTCTTGCGGGCACAAGATGATCTAAAGAGGCAGGACACTTTCCCTTTTTTTTTCTGTTAGATTTCATTCAGTAACCGATGCTTTGTCAAATCAACTTACTACGAATCTTGTTGGAAATGAAGGCAATGATGTCAGGGATATTGTTGAGCCATGGAGAGAATAATGGTAGGAATCTGTGAACTGCTTCTGATTCACATAATACGTACGTCTTCACTACGCCATGAACTCTCTTCGTCTGTTCTCAGTTTCTCATATTTAATTTTCCCTCCACACAAAAGATCGTGCAGCATCAATTTAGTTGAGAACCAAAGTAGGTAATATATGTTACAGTTAATGTACTAATACTATGATGACATTTTCCAAAAATACCAGATCAAAACTCGTCTCCTCCTTTATTATCGTTCATGACCGAGTAAAAGTTTTTCCTTATTACATGAGAGAGAGAGAGAGAGACAAATCATATGATACTCTCACACTAGTTGTTGGGATTTTGCAGATATATTATTTGAAAACATACACCAATAACATCAGAGAAAGAGCAAATGATTAGGTTGAAGCAGAAAATAATCAGTCTTTGTTACTAGTACAACATAGATTTAGTTAAAACAGCGTTCTCAAATTAATATCAGTGACTTAAACAACCATGAGTGAGAGAGATCAGTCAAAACAGAGAATTAAACTAACATCTGAGCCGAATAAATTAAATATATTAGCTCCATGTTAAAAACTGGTCATTCCTAGTGGTTCTCGATTATTTTGGTTAATTAATTCCAATCATGCCATGTCCTAAGTCTCGCATTCTAGCCGCATGTTTAGAACTGGTCCGTCCATAGCCCAAAGCAAGCCTTCGACTTAAAGAGGTGATTAGCACCGGTTTTATTAGTATCTCCCACAGAGTTAGCTTTGGTTGGTTAGTTGTAGACACTGTATTAACACGACAGAATTCTCATTTTATCACAATCAATATTTTAGTGATTGAAATTAGGATTGAGAGCTTTGTCATTTTATATAACACGATATATAAATCTACATTTGTTGGAATCAATTAAGAGCTTTGTCATTTTATCTAGTGATGTAGAAGATTCATTATGATTCCACAATCTATGTGTCATCACAACTAGTTCTGATCACAACTCTTTAATAAATTAAACACTTGAATTTTTTATTGATTGTCATTTGTCGCATACAGAATCTAGAGGATTTAACCATGAACATTTTAATTTCATCCTATAGCTTGTTAATTTCGTCCCGCAATGTCAACATATTAACCATGTCAACTTCTCTATACACACAACACAATAAGGTACAAAAAATACAAATGATTAATGATTCTTTCAACCAATAAGTTTATACTTGCATCTACTAGTTGCAATATTACTACTACGCAAAAAAAAGTTTGATAGGAACATTATAAAACTTTTGAACCAAGGAAAAAAAACATAAGAATTATTATCTTTTATCTTTCAAACAAACACAATAGTTTTAAATCTAAACACAAAAGAAGTAGTAGTCTGACTATTGCGATAGAGGATTAGTTGGTCCGGGGCATGTATCGTGTAGATATTGGTACAGAGATTTTCTTTCAGAGAGATCTGTGTCAGGGCTCCACCACCATCATCATCACCCCACACGACTTCTTCATCCCTATCTTTGTTAAACGTTTCTTTGTGTTTTGTTTATATAATATTTTGACTACGTTCATGACTAAATTTTATATATTTGTATATACATAAGAAAAAGTAATAACCAAATCTTGATTTGTTGTATGCTTAGGCGTTACGTGACAAGAAGATAGTATGTATGATACTATGATATAAGCTATCTTCTTAATTCGAAACCGAGAGCGCCCATATTAGTGGCCAAAACGATGTCGTTAAGACCGAAACAACTCTCTAGTTAAATCAGTAATTGTCTTTGAAAGAATTCCCATAAGTTTCAAAGTAAGAAATCTTTAATTAACCGTTGCTAAAATATAATTATCAACAAAGATTTATCTTTTGTTTGTGCTCTCACATTCTCATCTTATAATATCGAAATGCATGACGTTGCAACGATAAGAACAAAACATAAGTTAAAGGCAAAACTCTTTTCCTCCGTCTATCTTTGATTTCTTTTCATCAACAAATAGTAACACCTTTGTTATTAACAAATCTTTGATTGACAACTCTGGAATCAAAATGTTTATTCGGTTGCTAACAAAACCATAAAAACCTAGGTTGACTCTAGCTATATAGTTAATTTAATTTCTAATCATAGATATAACCGGAGATTGTTGTAGTTTCCTAACGTGGTCGAAACTACTACTAGGTAAGTTCGTTTGGTCTTTGGTCCATAAAATAGTATACTTAAAGATGACTGATCACGATTTCAACATTTTTTGCAATAAAAATCTATTGCATATAATAATAAGTTAATAACTCAATAATTGTGGTCTAGAGGTATTTCACCGGGTAAAGGGTGTAAACTGTAAACTCATTCTTTTCCGGTTCGACTACAAAATTATACACTGGTTAGACCAGTTGAATATGGGCTTGGTCCGAATGCTTAACATGGTATCTTTGTACAATGAATTAGACCGAAAAGTGGAAAACCAAATATTTCATTTTGCGTCACACAATACAATAGTTTCATACTTTGTGATGTGTATCTATAAATAGTTTGCGTCTCGAGCATCCCATTTTCATAATCCTCATTTCCAGGATCTCTCCATCTCGATTTCAATCTCCGACCCGACCCATTTACGCGACCCAAACCGGTTTCAACCCGGAATCCGCCGGAGAAGCGAAGATATGGATAAGCCTAACTTTGTAACCCGACCCGAAGAAGCTGAATCCGCCGCGAAACAACTCGGCGTGTCCGTCGTTCAGCTCCTCCATTCGCTGGTCAAACCAGCTCAATCCTTCGCTCGACCTCCGATCTCCAAATTCCACGTCGGAGCCGTCGGACTCGGATCATCCGGTCGGATCTTCTTAGGCGTCAATGTCGAATTCCCGGGTCTCCCTCTGCATCACTCAATCCACGCCGAGCAATTCCTTATCACCAATCTCACGCTCAACGGCGAGCGCCAGCTCCGATTCTTCGCCGTCTCCGACGCACCATGTGGCCATTGCCGTCAATTCCTCCAAGAAATTCGCGACGCGCCGGAGATCAGAGTGCTAATCACCGATCCAAAAACCGCCGCGGATCCCGACGCCGATTCAGACGGATTCTTACGTCTCGGGAGCATCTTGCCTCACAGATTCGGTCCCGAGGATCTTCTCGGTAAGGATTTGCCTCTTATCCTCGATCATCGCGATAACAGTCTCACGATCTCGGATCCCGATTCGATCTCCAACGGAAACACCGATATCACTTCCGAATTGAAGCGTACGGCTCTAGCGGCGGCCAATAGATCGTACTCGCCGTACAGTTCGTGTCAGTCGGGAGTTGCGCTGGTGGATTGCGACGGGAAAGTGTACAGAGGATGGTACATGGAGTCGGCGGCTTATAATCCTAGTTTGGGGCCAGTACAGGCGGCGCTGGTTGATTACATAGCCAACGGAGGCGGAGGAGGTTACGAGAGAATCATCGGAGCGGTGCTTGTGGAGAAAGAAAACGCGGTGGTGCGGCAAGAGCTCACGGCGAGGCTGCTTCTACAGACTATATCGCCGAAATGCGAGTTTAACGTCTTCCATTGCCGTTGACCTTGAGAATCAAGTTATCCACCGAACCAAAAAGAAAAACCTCGGGAATTAAAAAATTGGACTTTTCATATGCAATTATTGATAGTGATGCCTCATAATGATACAATACGAATATTAGAAGAAAAAAAAACACTGCTGATGACACATCAAGAGAATAATTTAATACGAGTATCATGTTTATATGTACTTTACATTATTAATTTTCTTTGGTTGGTCATGTATGTTTCATTTTTTCGAAAATTGATCATATATATGTATGTTGTTCTTCCCTTTTGAATTGTTATACATCCCTCTTTGAAATTTAATCTCTGTTATCACAATCAAGAGTGCATAGATATGTGAATCCAAATTAAATCGACCATTTTTCTTATAAAGTTTATTTGGTTCTATGAAATCTATAGTCTTTGATCGAATAAACGGCATAAAGTTGAATCAAAATTCAAAGCTGAATGTTAAATAGTAAAACTTTGCAAGATCACTCAACTTCGCCATTTGAATAAAATGAAATAAAAACTAACACAATTTTGTTAGCTATACTGTTGTGAAATTAGTAATAGCTGACCACTAATTAAAGGATAAGATAGAGAGAGACTCATTAGAATCTCAAAAGAAAAAAAAATATGTACATTCTTTACACATTGCAAAAAGGCAAAAATAAATGTATGTATTGATGCATTTACACATTAAAATTTGTTGGAATAAGTATCCATCTGCAAATTAAGTACGAAAGCAAAGAATATAGTTAAGATGGTCCACAAGCAACTCCTACTATGAGTGGTTAACAATGAATCTATTTTTTTTGGATTAGTTAACCTTTCAAAATAGATTACTTTCTAAATTATTTTATGTGAAACGAAAATGAAAGATAGTTTTTTTAAGAATCCTAAAACCCTCTTAATCTTTTGTTATCTTCATATTTTAGCATAATTACAGCATTACAAGCTATCACTACATATGGATTTTCTTTTACATAGAAGAGTTTTGAGAAAATGGATGTTTGCTTAAAAAACCGAGAAAAACATTGTGGAAACAAGGAAGTGGACATCTTTGTAATCTTCTCAATCTTGTCATAATTTGTCAACATTTCAATGTTAGCCACTTCATTTGTTTTTGCACGTCTTAGATAGAAGACAACGAAAATGTCTTTGTTATGTTACAACAGGTCGTAGCTTAGGTAACATATCAAACATCCAACATTGAATCTTGATTGGACATGTGGTATTGAGTCACTTGGTAAGTATTTTTTATGCTTCATGTGACAAGAACATAAACGATGGATTTTTGTTATTTGGTCGATTCTCTTCATTAACTTCAACAATCAACAAAATTTTATGTATTCTTAACGGTCTAATAGCAAATTAGCAATGTGAAACCAAAATAACTAGTCAAAACAAGCTAAAATGTGGATTAGAATACCCGCGTGGACACGCGTTGCTAACGGTTATGCATGTTATTTTAAACTGAGTCGGTTTATTTGTAATCAAACCTTCCTCCACTCAGAAAACCACCGATTCGAACAAGTCCTGAATTTTCCAGGTAAACCGAACCGGTTCGGTATTTTCCACGATGTCTGCATATACGTCACCGTTTTGCGCCTCTGTAATTTCCATTTTTCTGTTTCCGTTTGTTCTCTTGTAAAACGAAAAATCGAGACTTTCTTTCTGATTTCGTTCTCTCTCTCGGTGAAATAAGAAAGACGAGGCAACGAAGAAGAAGAAGAAAGTGACAACAATGGCGTACGTTAGCATGGGCGAAGCTCACCGGCGAATCACAGAGTACTTAAACCGTTTCTGCGACTCCGTTTCTTACCAAGACTCTTCTACACTTTGCCGTCTCCTCTCTTTCTCTTCCAATTCAGCACCTCTTCTCTCACTCGCCGATGCACTCAATGTCTTCCAGGTCCGTAAAAGTCTCTGATTCGATTGAAATTTCCTGTTTGATCGAGACCCATGTCTTGGAATTAGCTGCTTTGAAACAGTAGGAGTTTGTTTTTGCGATAGAGGATCCTTATGCTGGTAAAATTTGTGGCTTTAGGTTCAATTTCAATCTAGGACGCTTACAGCATGATATTCCAATTGGATCATACTGCTTCACTATTGAGTGTGGATTTTGAATTTAGGTCTATGTTTTTGCTATAGAGTGGCAGATGATCTTTCTGTTGGTAAAGTTTGTGGCTTTTAGGCTCAGTTTCAATCCAGGAAGCTTACAATGTGATCTAATTGGTAACCTACTGCTTCACCAATGAGTGTAAATTGACCAACAGTTAGAGCTTGATACTGTCTGCGATTAAGTGTGTAAATAGTAAACACTCTCTGTATATGTGTTTGAGTTTATGAGTATCACTTTTAGATTGGAACAGTCTCGATATATATATGTAATGATTCCAAAAGGGCTAAATCCTTTGAAATTTATCTTCTTTGATTGATACAGGATGCTAGCAGTTTGATAAGACAATCTGATAAATTCTCTGAATACGGCGAGATTCTTGCTCATTTGTTTCGTTCTCTACAAAGTTACAGAATTGGGAATCTAGTCGAAGCATACCTCGCTTACGAGAAGTTTGCCAAGTAAAGCTTTCTTGTTTCTCTATGCTCCATCTCCATGATTCCAGGCTCTTTAGATAAGCTTCTTCTGGTGTGTTCACTTTGTCTGATATACGTTGGATTCTATATGTGTAGCGCTTTTGTTCAGGAGTTTCGTAATTGGGAATCTGCTTGGGCATTGGAAGCTCTGTATGTAGTTTGTTATGAAATTCGAATTCTTGCTGAAAAGGTAGTCTTTTCACTTATACATCCCTCATCCAAAATTTTGGATTTGTTTAGTTTTCATAGCCACCGAGTTTTGAGTTCTGAGAGTATGATTGGTTTCGGATGATAATGCAGGCTGATAAAGAGTTGACTTCAAATGGAAAATCTCCAGAGAAACTTAAAGCTGCAGGATCTCTTCTCATGAAAGTTTTTGGAGTTCTTGCTGTACGTTTCCCTATCGATCTACCTTGAGGAATTTTGTTTACTTTGTGTTGAGTTTCTTTTTCGGACTCCGTATTTAGTTCTCAACTGTAGGGTAAAGGTCCAAAACGAGTTGGAGCATTATATGTGACTTGCCAATTGTTCAAGACCTACTTCAAGGTGAAACTCTTTCTTAACATTCACTCGTATACTATTATTTGTAATGTGATCAACCATTGATTGGAATACTAAACATGTGTCCCTAATTTCTGTATTTCAGCTTGGAACTGTCAATCTTTGTCGAAGTGTAATAAGAAGTATTGAGACTGCTCGGATTTTTGACTTTGAGGAATTTCCAAGAAGAGACAAGGTCTAGTGCAATTCTCTGTCAAGCAGTGCCTCTTAATTTGGTCACATTACATAGATCTTATGTTTCTTTTCTTTACAAACACCGCAGGTTACATACATGTATTATACCGGAAGATTAGAAGTCTTCAACGAGAATTTTCCTGCTGTGAGTCACTAAGAGATTCTCTTGTTCCGTCAAAGTTCTATCAATTGAAATATTGTTAGTGACATTTACCAATTTGACGATCTTGCAGGCTGACACAAAGCTATCATATGCCTTACAACATTGCATCCCCAGAAGAGACCGGAATATAAGGTTTGATTGTGGTTTACTCTCTGATTTACGTTACTCCTGCATCGCATCACGTTGCTTAATGAGATTTGGCTTATGTTGGAACAGGATGATATTGAAGTATCTGATACCAGTAAAACTTTCGTTAGGAATCATACCAAAAGATGAGCTCTTGCAAAATTACAATCTTCATGAGGTAATGTTCTCTTCAACTCTTCAAAACTTATTTCGCATCTGTGAGTGAGATTAGCATCTCTCTGAATCCAACTTCTCTACGTGTGCAGTACATAAAGATTGTGCAAGCGCTGAAAAAGGGTGATCTCAGGCTTCTCCGGCATGCTCTTCAAGAACATGAAGATCGGTATGTCTTTATTTTTGACATCTTACCTTCCTCATCTACATCTGAATGATAAGTCCTTGTGGTTAGTCTAGTGCATGAGCTTAAGAACGTTAGTATCAATCTAATATTCTTTGATCAGGTTCCTGAGGTCGGGTGTGTATCTTGTATTGGAAAAGCTGGAGCTCCAAGTCTACCAGAGACTCATGAAGAAAATGTAAGAAGCTTTTATATAAGGGTACACAAGCCATTTATACACTGAACAGTCCTCAGATTTACAGTACTGTTTCGTAACTCTTTATATCAATGTTTCAGTTATATCATCCAGAAGCTGAGTGATCCAGCGAGAGCTCACCAACTAAAACTTGAAGTGATTGCCAAAGCACTTAGGTGGCTGGAAATGGACATGGATCTCGACGAGGTTGCTTCTAACTTCCCATCCCATTCGCCATCTGTTGATTTTCAGAATGAATTCTGTGAAACTCACTGTTCTTCTGATACTATTTTTTTTTTGTTGCAGGTGGAATGTATAATGACGATCCTGATATACAAGAACCTTGTGAAAGGCTATTTAGCACACAAGAACAAAGTGGTGGTCCTAAGCAAGCAAGATCCTTTCCCTAAACTCAACGGGAAGCCCGTTGGCTCATAGATGTTACCTTCGCGTGTTAGACCCTGTGAATTGCAGGTTATCCTTGTTGTTGTATCAAGAAACCATGTTTAAGCACAAGCTTAATCTCAGTATTTTTACCTCCAGATTATTGATTAAGTGATATATTTTTTTTGGCATAAGGAATTGAATAATAAGAACATCCAGATTCTTTTATAGGCTCAAATCTTCTTCTTGTATTTTTTCCATCTCTATAGTTTGCCACAACTTTAAAAGAATATGAAATCTTGAAAGTTGTAACAGATTATAAGTTTCTTGAAACTTGCCATTAGTAAAACAAATAAGTTGCAGAGAGGACAAATACAAAACTAAAAAGGTCTCTAACTAGATACTGTCACTCTTCCAAGTAAGTTATTACATGGACAAACACAAAAATCCTCAAATCTTCAAGTCCTCAACGAAACTAAGCCCCTGATAAGAGAAACCAAACTCCGGCGATGAACAAAACCAAAGACGAAGAAGACAATGAAGAAGAAGACGAAGAATCAACAATCTGAATAGGGAAATTGCATTGTCCCTGAGATATGTTCTGTGTGGTAATAGTAGCCAAACCCTGGAAGATACAAGCTTCCTCATCCTGGTTCTTCACCTGAAAATACATGTTAAACGCATACGAAGCGTTCCCATTTGCATCAAGACCATTGCAAGAAGATCCATAGCCAAGAGCCGTGCAATCCGAGTAAGTGCAGGCGAAATCAATGTTCTTAGCGAGTTTCGTCAAATCTTTAGCTTCTGGATTAAAGCTACACCACTTGTTCTGTAGATACGTCACGTTTTGAGCACCAACCAAGAGCTTGTTCTGTCCTTGACCTGACAGATCTATAGGAAACTTCGGTGTCCCGTCGTACTTTAATATCCCCCAATGCCTCTCAAAGTCTCCAGGTGCTATACTCTTCGCATCCTCATCGAGTAATCCAAACAAGTAGACCTCAATGTAGATTGGTCTCAACGGAGTGCCTTTGTTTGTTCCAAGCTTTGGTAAAAGACCGTTGTAGAATCTGTAAGCATCGCCTGTGTTCGCGTGTTTGTCACCCTCCGTTGGCCACCCGACTTCTCCAACGATGATAGGCATGTCTCCATGACCAACAGCTTTCAGAGACGACACCAAAGTGTCGAAATTTGCATCGAAGACGTTCGTGTAAGAGATGCCGTTGTCATCTACAGGCTGAGGAGTGCCATCGAAGAAGGCGTAGTTGAGAGGGAAGTCATCGTTGCCATAGAGACTCAAGAAAGGGTAGATGTTGATTGTGATGGGAGCGTTGTTCTTGCCAAGAAAGTCCACAATCTGAGTCATTTGAGCGATGATGTCAGGACGGAATCTTCCTGCAGATGGCACGGGGTTGCTCGCTGGGGAGTCGTAGACATCGGCGTTTAAGGGAACCGTTGCTTTCACGGAGCTTCCTAGTCCTGCTTCGTTTAAAGCGTTTTGAATGTTTTGAAGTGCAGGGAACGTGAGGTTTATGAATGATCCGTTGTATGATTTGAGGAATGGCTCATTCCCAACAGCTACAAACCTGAAGAACACAAAAGAAATCAGCTTGAGACAGGACAAAGATCAATAAGACAAGACAACAGTCACAGCACATTCATGTATGTTTTATGACTAACGTGATGTTGACACCGCCGTTGAAGTTGTAGCGAGTGACGTTCTTGCGAACCCAATCTTTGGCTCTGTCGTAGCTTCCCATGACCTTGAGCTGGTCATTGGGGATAGCGACCATGACTTGGAGACCAGAGCCAGCGAGTGCGCTCATGGTGGTCTCGTCTGCGTCGAAAAGCTTGACCTTGTTGATGTTGTTGTCCTTTAGCATCTGAACAACTGTCTTTGGTGGAAGCTTGTGTGTTGCCATTGTTCCCCAGTTCACACCAAGCCCATCTACCGTAACAGGACCTGTTACGATTGCAAATCCCAAGACGACGAAGAGGTACAGCAGATTCGACGACATCCTGAGATACCCAAAAACGAGACGATTTTGAGAGAAAAATGAGACAACTTTATTGGAAGCAAGACAAGAGAGAACGCAGAAACTTACTTGTGATTCTTGTTGGTTGATTGAAGAAGCTCTGGATCCGATCTGGTTAAAACAAAACAACAATTCACCAAATGGTAAGTTTGGTAACGCTTAGGACCAGGAAGTAAAACCAAACATAACTAGAACACGCGTAAAACCTCACTTAAACCCAGAAATCGGAATATCTATGTATATGTCTATCTGTCTCTCAGCATTTACCTAAAATAAGCGGAAAATGGAATTGAATTCAAACATCAGAAAGCTCGAATCTTTTTAACACGCAAAAATCTGTTTTTGGTAAACCAAAGAAAGGAAAGAAGAAGAAAAAAACCTTGGGACCTGGAAGAGAGGAGTGATGAGGGGCCTGAAGATGATGTTATTATTATGGTGGTGGAGCTGGAAATTGGAAACGATTCCCTTTTTTTCATTATTATTTTATTCAGTAAAAGTTGTAAATCCAGCCAGATACCTTGAAAATCATAAATAACAAAAAGGTAAAATTTTGAAAAAATAACGGATGAGAAGTTGAATATTGACATTATCAACACAGAATTTAATTAGATAACTTACTAGAGATAATAAATGACTTAGTCAAGATTCTCTCCCCAAAACACTTCATGGTAATTAAAAATTTGAGCTTTTTTCTAGACAAACTATACTAGAATTATTCCAACTATATTATTTGTCTGAAATGTGCAATGAGATATTTATAATTGCATAATACATATATATTGTATACTTACATATACTCCAAAGTCCAAAGTAATAATCATTACAACTTTTTTATAAATATAAAGCTAAGATAATAAAGATGTCGGTCGAAAGTTCTGGAGTCTGGACACCGAGTCAGGAAACGACCCACATGTTGTTGCCATGAAACTTGGAAGGACGTTTTGTAATGGTTAACGAAGAGTATTAATTTTATTCGACATTTTGCCACAACTTTAAAACAATCAACCGATGATCATGAAACCTTTAAAGTTGTAAAAGAGTTATTGAAACTTGTCATCAGTGAAACAAAAAGAGTTGAGAGAGGAGAATACAAAACTCAAGAGACTAAAAACGAACACTGATACTTTGAAAGATTTTTCAGGCAGCAAGATCAGGAAGAGTGTTCTGGATGTTGTAAGGCATCAAAATGTTGAAACCATCAGCAGCTGTTGAAATGATCATCCCTGGAATCTGGTTGTGCCAGTGAAGCTCCTTCAAGTCCTTTTGTCCCTGGTGAACGAAGAGAAGCTGAGGAGGCAAGTCTTGAGGTGTGTTCACTTGTTCCTTTGTCTGTGCTTTGAACTCTGCTTCCTCTTCCTCATCCTTCTCTAACGACAAATCCCATATCCTGCATATACAAACAGATAAGTCAAAAAACCATTACTACAGTTTCTCTCAGTGGTTTTCTGTGGATTAATCGGTGGTTTTAAGTATAAGCTTACGTGAGCTGGTTATCGCCGGAAGTGACTGCAAGTGTCGAGGATTCATGAGCGCTCCACTCAATCGACGTGATAGGATGCTTATGATACTCAAAATGTGCTATTACAGCATCTCCACCCTAGTTCAATATTCAAATACTATCATCAGAATCATCTTGTTAAGATACTACTCAATATGGAAAACTAAGGTCTTCTTTAACGTACCTTGACCAGTCTAAGATCATGGATAGAGAATGTCCCGTCATCGGCCCCTGAGGCCAACATGCAAGTAGCCAACCTTCATGAAAGAGGAAGAATAAAGAATGAGCTATTTGCGAGTAACATCAAACCAAAAAGAGATTAAGTTACACATCAAAGTGGCTAAAGAACCTGTTCCATGAGATAACATTCACGTCTGCTTTATGTGCCTTGATGGATAACGCAGGCGTCTTTCCGACTCGGACATCCCAAACTGCAACAGTCCCATCCACAGAACACGACGCAAACACGTTTTCTTCAGATGGACTCCACTGGAATAAAAGAAAAGAATGTTCAGCTACAAGGAGACAGTAACAGTTGGCACACATATTTAGCCTCAAAGTGACAGTTTTTACCTGTAAGTCTTCAACACTTGCAGTGTGTCCTTTGAACGGAACAGGATCAACGGTCCATGAACCAGCAGCTGGCTCCCAAAGATGAATCATACTCTTGCAATCCCCTAACCAGTGGAGAGCAAAATAAATACACATTGACTATGCGGAAAAGCATGTAACTGATATGAGTATTTCAAAGGTTTCTGAGATAACTATACCGGAAAGAAGTCTTCCAGCGAGAGCAGGACTCCAATCAATAGCATATCCTTCATCTTTGTGTCCAGAAAAGTTAACTAAAGGTGCTTGGTTAAGAACCGGCGAAGTTCCATCTTTGCCTTCTGTGTCTGACCCTGCTATAGCATTAAGATGAGAGGCCAAGTCCCACACCTGCCCACAAATACAAAAGCCAAAGCACTTTACAAAAGCTACATATAAACAAATACCTAAAACAAGCAAGTAGACGAATATCCGGTTTTACCTGCACATGACCAGAATCTGCCCAAGAGACACAGATATGAGAATTTTGTGGCATTGCACGTATGCGGTTAACACATCCATGATGAGCAACCCTGCGAACCTGTATATAGAAGCACAATATATCAACCATGAGGTCTTTCTTGGCTTCAGAAACAGAACTAGATGAATAATTCATAATAGTTAGAAAGAATCAAGAATTACCTGAATATTAGGAACACTGGAAGCTCCATCTTCGCTTTCCTCATCGCTGTCACTCTCATCTTCATCTTCCATATCATCATCACCATTCCCTAGCGTCTTGGGCGCTACATCACGTCTCTTACCAGATATGTTGCTGATTTTGAATAATCCTATGGAGTTATAGGCTGCTTTCTCAGCCTATGAAAGAAAGTATACAAAGGGTGTTAAAAACTCAATTCGGCAATCTAGAAGCTCAAATACATTTGAAGATATAAAGGCACTGAGACTTACCTGAGTACCAGCCACCATATACAATGTGTGAGGAAACTCAGTTCGATTCAAACCCAACTTATCACCCACAATGTCGAAACTGGAAACAGAACAGAAACCATAGAATCAACAAACATGCAGTGTAATCATTCACAGAGTAAATTTCTCAGCTTTATGAACCAGACAATAAGATAATGAGCTTGCGAATTCATTGGTATCACAAACACAGAAGAACCTTCTCTCTATTAATCCATAAAGTATCGAGCTTTCAGCTAAAATCGTCTAAATTACCTCAAACAGGGCCAGCCAACATGGAACCCATGAAGTGAATTGTAAACAGAAGCGTCGCACTGAAGCTCTTCACCATCTTCGAGCGTATCGACACCTGGTTGCCAAACCCTAGTTGGCATCGAAGGCATCTCGGAAGAGGACGCAGCTTCCTTCTTCTGTTCAATTTCGAAACATCCAAAATCACGCGATTAGGTTTTCTGAATTGAGAAAATCAGATTGAATAAGAGCAATTCCGGATTCGAATTTCAAACCTTGTTCTTCCTCTTTGCCTTCTTAGTGCTTAGGGAGCGAACCATTTCGCCTCGTACTTATACGAAGTTTGTGAAGAAGATGATCAATTCAGCTAGGGCTCTTCATTTTCGGTAGGGTTTAAGCGATTTATACCTAAAGCAAATCTTCATAATTCTCCTTTTTAGCATTAACATCCTCTTCTTATTGAATATTATTTTGAAGTCCCCAATCTTTTGAGAAATGAAAAAAGTAACCCCAAACGTTTTATAATATCACAATTTCCAACACTAACAAATCATACTCAAACTGTTACCTATTCGTCTGATTAGAGAGTAAACAATCAAAAGTAGTAAAAATAAAATGCATTGGTTCTTTCTTGTACCAAAGCAAAAGCAAGTACACTAGTTTTTGTTCCTACTTGGAGAAGAATTTGTCCCAATCACGAAGCGAAGAATCAACGGAATCATCAGGGAGAAATTTGGGAATCCTCTTAGCTTCAATGAATTGTTTCAAGATAGCTTTCTCTTCGTCGATACGCTTCTTCTCTTTCCTGTCTTTTGGTTGAATCTTCCTTTTCTCTTCCAAGATCCACTTGAAAAGCTCCCTTTGCTCATCTTCTGGAATTGGTTTCCTTGCTACCTGCTGCACAGGCTCGCTCGCTGCAGTCTGAAACACCAGCTGATCAGCTGCACTTGTAAACTCAAACAGTGGATCCGGTTTAGTGATCGGTTTGGCTTCTTCCTTCTCCGGTATCATCACCACACTTTCTGCTTCCCTAGCCAAATCAGTTTCTGCAACTTTGCTGTTTTCTTCTGCAGCTTCCTCGTCGACCTCGGTGTTGACAAAAACACCCTTTTTCACAGCTTTAGAGCCCTTTTTAAATCCTTTTTTCTCTCCAGCCTCAATGTCCCTTTCGTGTTTTCTCGCAAATATATATGCTGCAGAAACAAAAAAGGATACAGTTAGCAAAACACTGAAATCAAATGCTATATCATATACTCAAACATCATGTATTCGTTTCACGATTCTGATTCAGACCAAGCAAGCAAAGGATATGTCAACCAGGAATCATCAAATGTGCAATGCAATAATGTCCATGAACCATAAGATTAACAAGAACCTATGTATGCACACACACAAAGATATATATATATATATATATATATATATATACAGAACTTTGTAATTACTGCATTTGGTTAAATTCAATGTCTTTTCACATCGCTAACAACGAGTATGGTGAATCAGACTCTCTTGGAGTTCGTTTCAAACAGATATCAGTAATTCCATGGCAAAATCAGCTTTTTTTTTAGAATTGGAGCAAGCACAAAGGTTTTGAGTGATTAAATTTCTACCCTACATTTGATGATTTGCTAGAAGAAATTGTCTCGTTTCTTGATACAAAAATAGAGAAAGGAGAGGAATTTCTCAGCTAGGCATTTCATCAAACACATTATGCACGTAAACTAAAACTAAGAACCATCAAAGAACTGATAAAAAGTTATCGAAGACTAACCTGCGAGACCGAGATTGAAGATCAGCATAGCTCGCCAGCCGAATGTAGCCAGTCTCGGAACGGCTTTCTGTGGAGGTTTGGGGGTAGATGGAGATGGCTCCATCGATTCCGATGGAAATTTCGCGAAACCCGACTTGGATCTTCCGTATTACACTGCTTCTCGTGAAATTGAAGTATCGTCGGAAACGAAAATGCAGATTTCAAATCCAGATTTGATGTAATCCAAACGATTTCTTCTACTTGTGATTTGATTTTTGCTTCCTTGTCAAGTAAATTCTGATTCCTATTGGATAAAAAGTTTTTCGCTTTGATCTTCTTCTCCCAGACTTTTGACTGATCTTGATGGTTTATATGGTTTGCGATTGGGTCTTCGAACTCTCTTACTCATCAAGAGGCTCCTTGAAGCCCAAATTAACAAGACTTTTAGACTTTCGCTTATGAAATTCTTTTCTGATCAACAAAATTGATCAGATTGTTAAAACATGGTTATGAACTAATTTGAAAAATCCTTTGCAAACACAGTTCCAAAATTGAAACCTTGCTAACCGGTTTTGGTTTGAGAGAAAGAATAATATGGTTCAAGCCTACGTTCAACGCAAAGCAAATTGTAACCAAAAGCACATAGAGTTGGTTTGATTCGGTTAACATCTAAGTTGAACAAAGTACTGTAGCTCACTTAACAGTCTTTGAGGAAACAGGATCAAGAACCAAAACCATGTACCCCTAAACGATTTTAAAAAGGTCCTAAAAGCTACAAATATCTCAAAAGACAAGCCAGCCTTCCAAAGACCAAGGTTCCTCGCTAAACAGAAAACTAAACCGCATTAGTTTTTACCATAGGGCGATAGATAAAGATAGACACAATGGTAGTTTTATTCCTTTGCTCTCAAGGCTTGGAGGCACATGTCATAACATGCGACTTGAACTTCTCCAATTCAGTCAGGACTTCCTCTTCCGGTCTGTAGATCAAGTCACTCATCCGCCATATCTACCACAGAAGAAGAATGTGTAAACAACAATTTCCAAGTTTTATCAACAAACATTACTCATCAAGATACCAAGAAAGCGTTCAAAAGGTTACCTGCAATGTTCCACCTCCACCAGTAGTCTCACAGTCATCAGAAACACTGACAATGGTCCACGGATCCGCCGCATTCCAGTGGAAATCAACAACTTTGTCCCTAAGAAAGTTTATACACAAACGAGCTTAGAAGCAAGTAAATCAGACAGAAGCAGCAATAAAAAGAATTAGGACGCTTAAGTCGCTAAGAACCTGTGACCAGCATGCTGGAAGAAGAGGCCAGCAGGGCTTTTAGCTGCACGATCAGACTTCTTACTAACCTGATGGATCATTAGAAAAACCAAAAATGAGTACTGTATATTGAATACGTTTCGGTGATGATAGTGAAGAAAAATAAATTTCAGATATATCTGAGTAGATTATGTACTCACCCTCTCATAATCCCAAATGTTCAAAAGACCATCTTCTGCGGAACTCCCAAAAACAGACGACTTATCAGGAGACCACTGAATTGATTAACAAGATGGTATCAGTGGGATAAAATATATTTATCACATGAAGAAGGATGTAATAAAGTAGTAGCAGTTATTGAAACCTGAACACAAAGAACAGCAGCTTTGTGGCCCTCAAACTTGTAGATAGGGGTACCGACTCCATTTGAGGTAAGGTTCCTACGATCATACAACCGGACAGTGTTGTCTGCTGACCTGAAACATTCAACAATAACGAATTACATGTATGCATATTGTAAAAGTTTACTTAATTAGATACTAAGTTTGCTTAATCATCAGTCTGTGGCACATGTATATCTATCTCCACATACCCTGTCAGGATCAGATTGTCGTCATGAGGGTTCCAATCGACACAATGAAGATCAGCATCGTGTGCCTTTTCAACCTGGTAAACACAAAAAAAAAATATATAAGATAAGAGAAGGAAAAACTACACACAAAAATTGAAAGGATCAAAAAGATACAGTACCTTCGTGACAGGGCTAGTTCCTGTTCTTGCATCCCAAAGTATAAGGCAAGAATCGTCACCAACACTGCAGAATTCTTGTGCACTACACGGCATAAAAATTCACATCATCAGAAATGCATGGAAATAAAACACGATAACAAAAGGAGGAGACTGTTCTAAGAAGTTACCTAGTTGGGCTGAATGCCACATCTTCAACCGTGTCGTCATGGCCGTGGTATACACCTCGCGGGCCAACAGTGGGACTCTCAGTCTTGTCACCGCCTTCACCAGTCTGTTTGATGATAGATCCGGATGATTTGGATTCTGTACCAACAGATGTGATGTGATCCTGGATACTCCACAGAACAACTGACTTGTCCTTGCCTAAGAGAAGAACCTTTGTATGAGAAACTGGCAAACCACAAGATCAACAGATTCAACACTACAAATCACAGAAACACAAACCTCCAGAGAGGACAAAGGGTTCGGTTGAGCACATCGCAAGAGCAAATTCAGCATTATCTTGGTGTCCAGTTAGTATCTGCAAGACAAATGGTTCAGAATTCAGATGATGCAAAAGAGATGTATGATGAGATTAAGACAAACAAGAACAAAGCACAATCAATGATTTGCAACGCCATATTTCAGAAGTGGGCATACCAAATCCGGACGGGAGTTTGCAGCTCCAAGCACAGCATGACGGTTTGGTTGGGTTTCAACATCCCAAATGAGAACCTGGAATCCACATATTGTATTCAGATAAATGAGTCCAACATACTATTTGAAGTTGCTATGACTATGACCATAAAAAATAGAAGAAGCAGCGCTTACATCAGGACTGTCGGTGTGAGTAGCGACAATCTTACTGTTTTGTGGGAGTTCCCTGATTCTGTTAACCTGCAATAGCAATTCGGTGATATACACATCAAAACAGGATTTTACTTTCATCATAGTGCCAAATGAGCAAATTCATGCACCAATTTAAACAGTAGTGGATATACAATATTGCACCACAGAGAGCTAGAAGCAACAATGTCGATACAGAGAAATCTAGAGTGGGGAGGAAATCAGACCTCTCCAGGGTGAATGATGGTCTTGAACTTCTTCACAAATGGAGAACGTGCTTCTTCATTGAACTGAAAACGCAATAGCAAAAGATAGTGAACAAATGTCAATACACGAAATCCATTGTAGTGGGGGAAGGATGATAAGGGAAAGGCACAAGATTAGTAGCAAAACCACAAGTTACCTGAGATATGTGCTCTGCTGCAGCGACTCTCGGCTTAACAACTTCGCAGTTCGCTATGACTAGAGTATTGGGCACACTGCCATCAGTCTGGTGGCACAACCAAAGGAAAACAAACAATATGATGAGAGAAAATACGAAATTTTTAGTAAATGAGACAACTTTCTGAAACGTTACTGCAAGAAAGATACAGGAGACAGCAGTAAACCTACTTGTTCTGAGAGGTACAGACGCTGGCGATTCTTGTAGGTCGCTTGTTCGAGCTGTGGACCCCATCTGTTAAAACCAAACAACAAATTTCACCAAATGGAACCTCTTAGCACAAAATCTAAAGACTTCACAGCTAAACATCTGGAAAAAAAGCTAAATTTTCCTCAAAATTGAAACTTGATAACTCAGAATCGAAGGATTATATGAAGCGAACATCAGACGACGATAGAAGTGCATCCAAAACAACAAACACCAAACCCTAACTAGAGCATTTGCAAAATCTCACTAAAACCCAGAAATCGAATACAAATCTGTACATCTCTCCGCATTTTGCCTGATTTAACCGGAATTACAATTCAATCCAAACATCAGAAAGTTTAAAGCTTTTCACAAAATTGATAACCCAACAAAGGAAATTGAGCCGAAGATACGATAGACCACCGAAACCCTAGAAGAGAGAGGGAGAAGAATTGAGGAGAACCTGCAAGAGAGTGAAGGCCAGACGAGGTTATGGTTGGCGAGCCAGTCGTAGAGAATGGGGACGAGACCTTTCCACTGAGTGTACTTCTCGTCGACACTGAGCTGCTGCGTTTTCTTCCCACTCTCCTTCATTTTCCCACCGCTGCTACCGCTCTGTTGGTGCGAAGACGGAGCCTGAGAGTCGTCCTTGGTTTTAGGTTTCCGACCTCTCTTCTTCGGCGCCGGAGTTACGGTTCCTCCGCTGGCTTGAGGAGACGCTGCTGCTGCTGCTTCGTCGCTCTCCATCTTTCTTCTCTTTTTGTTGTTTTGGCTTTTTATTCGATTACTCTCTCCCAGTCAACAATACATTACTGTATCTCTCTACTGCTTTAAATTAAAATACAAAAACGACCACCGTTTCCTTTTATTTTATTTTAATAATTTGGTAAAACAGTAAAATAGATACTTTATTAGATTGACATAAAACTGTCTGAGACTTTGACTAGTAAAATTTATTGTAATGAAAATATGAGATTTTCTGGATTAATATTTTTTGATGTTTTGAAATGCAAGGAACATGATCTGTTGTATGATTTGAGGGATGGCTGAATCCCAACAGCTACAAATCTGATTAGCTTCACTAGACATATAATGAAATATGTACAATTTTGCTTTTGTATGTGATAGTATTGTTACAAGATTTACTTTTTCAGATATTTGAGTTTTCAATCAGCTTTCACCAAGCATTAAAATCCCAAAACTACCAATGAATTTTCTTTGGATCTTGAGTCCTTTTGCATCACCGTGCCCCATACCATGAAATACACGGGTGGCAAATTGACGGCGTCTCGAAAAGAAAACGAAAGAAACTAAGAAATGGCAACCAAACTTCAAAATGATATATTTTGACATTAAAACCAAAAAAAAAAACTTCAAAATGATATGGACAAACTCCACACTAAATAGCATTTATTATTTGCCTAAAACAAATCCATTTGGATTTTAAACTCAACGATGCATTTTCAATTTTCAGTTTTGATATCATTAAACATTGAGCCATTATTATTTAAATAAAAAAAAATACAAATAACTGATACAAGATATATTATATTTTTGATTAAGAGGTGATTTAGTTGGTCTTTGCTTTTTCATGATTAATCTTCTCGTTCAGTTCGTCAAGGTAGGTCTTCCGTGACTGAATCTGCCA